TATAATAAATATACTTTTATTATGTAACTTTAAGATATAAATACAAAAACCCATAAATAATTTGTCTTCAACAAAGTCTTCGTTTAACTGTAGTACTTTATTGGATGTCTTCACAGGATGTCTTCACAGATTCATTTCAGTGGCATCTACGGTGGTTTAGAGTTGTAAAATGAGAAGTAAACTTTAATTCCCCACACCTGCGGTATCCTAAGCAATAGAACTTGTGTCTTTGGTCTATCCTTGGACAGGTTTTTCTTCAGTTCACATTTCACTGCTATGCAAAGTTCAATGCAAATAGCTTTTCAGTTTGAAAAACATTGATCACCATCAAATTATAAAATTATACATCAGCATATATATATCAAAAGAAATCTGTTTTATATGGTATGTACTTTAGTTTTATATTAAAAAATTATTTAATATAATAATTTAAAATTAACGATCTACTTAATCCAATAAACAAAAATATTTAAATTAATAAATAATAATAATAATTAACAATTAAATTAAATAAAATCATTAATCATTATTTTCAAACCACTATACCAAATAACCTTCTTAATCTATATTATATGTTATATTATGAAGCAGTTCCACAATTATTGCCCTTTATATTTCATATTTTTTTTTTCATATTTACCATTAAGATATTTTTGTGCCAATTTTTGCATACCATAATATTAATTTCTTTCTAAACAATTTTAAAAGTGCATCCTATCACATGTTGACCTGATATATTTAAATAAATTAATTTATTTAGATGCTAATCTCAATATTTGAACTCCAAACCTAATTTACAAGATACCATGCTTATCATTAAATGCAACCTTGACTTATAATCGATGACTTTATAATAAAGTAATTGTGCACCTTTCTTATTGCCTTTTCATATTCATTCACTGGCATTTGCCAAGCATCTTCCAGGAAATTTCCAGCTATAATTTGTACAAGTTCTTTCCTCTTCTCCTTAGGCATCTCACATAATTAGTCCTGCAATTGAACTAATTCGCTACTACTTTTAATTTTCTTGGCTTAGCTAATTAATTTGGTTATCAGTAAGGGTTTGTGTCTTCTACAATTTCTTCCGTGAAATTTGCAGGTATATCATCTAGATCTTCAATCATAATTCAATTATGTTCCCTTTGAGATATAAAATGAAAATATCTAAACTTTCTTACAAACGCATGTCCTTATAACAAAGCATCTTCTCATTCTAATTAGAATAGTCATAAGCTTTATAGATTTTTTTTTTTTTTCAAATTGTATGCTTTTATCGAATTAATTAGTAGCTACTTAGTTAATAATGTG